GCACCCCAGGAAGGGGCTGGCTGCCTGGCTCTGGCTGCTCACCAAACACAGCCCTGTTTGCCGGCTCTGCCAGCTCCTGAGTGTGGTTGGCTTCCTGTGCCACCCGCCCTGGCACGCCGGCGTGGGGCAAACCAGTGCCGTGTTCTTACCCAAGAGCCAGCCCCTGGCTAGACAAGCTCTGTTGCAAAAAAAAGCTGAGTTTGTTGAATCCTTTGGCAAAGTGTTAATGGAACAACCTCTGCTCTCTTCCAGCCACAGCAGCGAGGAGGGGGAGTCTGTGCTGGAGCAGCCGTTGCCAGAGAGGATCTCCTTCATCCGTGGCTTCCTGCAGAGTAAGAGCCAGCGCCGGGGGAAGCGGCTGCTCGGTGCCCCCCACCTTTATGGGGGTCTGGTTTTGTGTTTCCCCTCCCCTAAGTGACTCCTGGCTGCAGCAGCAGCTCCACGAGGTGCAGGCAGAGCTGATCCCGCAGCAGCGTGCGGGAGGGAAAGCTTCCCCATGGAAATCCTCACCGGAGCCCAGGCTGGGTGCAAAGGAGATCCAGGCTGTGAGGAGCAGCGTGCTGGTGGCTGCTCTGGTCATGCTGCTTTGGGGCAGCGTTCCTCACCCAGTGCCTGGCCTCAAGCTGTCAAATCCCACTGGAAAACCTTTACCTGAGCAGGAATCCTGGGAGGGGAAGTGGGGAATCTCTGGCACTTTCGCTTGGCCTCTCCTGGAAGGGGAGACACCGTATCCCACCTCATATCCCATCCTTCATAGGTGGGGCTCAGCTTGTGCTGGTGGTGGAGGAGCAAAAGGTGTGGAGAGATGCTGAGGGCGAGGTGGGGAGGATGGGTCTGAGGCTTAAATTGCCAAGAGGGTGAAATAAAAACCCCATCAGAGTTAACAGCCGAGGCTCTGCCAGCCCACCCTGTGCCCCTTCTCCTTGTGGACACATCACGGTGCCCCCCCAGCCTGTCACCCCAGGGGCTGGACACATGCCACGGGCTGGTTCCTGTGTCACTGGGACTCCTGTTTCCTGTTGCAGAGCACTGCAAGCACAAATCAGCCACGGAGAACCTGGTCTCAGCACAGAAACTGCTGGAGGGAGAGGAGCTGGCGTTGGCCAAGGTAACTGTGGGGCTTTATTCTGAGCTGCCACTGATGACCAGTCTGGGGTTGGTGACACTTACCTGCCTCATTTCAGGTGGCCGTGCTGCTCCTGTATCACACCTCCATGAGCTGCAAGAGCCCTGGGGACTGGAATGAATTTGACTACAAGACCCAGGTGATCCCTTCTGGGTTCCCCCTCTGGATCAGGGCTGCGGGGGGAAGCGGAGGTGCCCTTTGCAGGGTGCTCTGAGACCTGCCCTTGTGTTCAGGTCCCCTTGGGATGATGGCCCAGGGCCAGCACTGCTCTGCTCTGGGCAAACACAGGCTCGTGGCTGCGAGGGTGGACGTCTGCTGGTGCAGGCAGGAGCTGCCCACTGTGGTCACTGCCCAGCTGGCAACGTTCTGCCTGTGAACAGCAGCTGCTGCAGCAGAACTGCTGACCCCACGGTTCCTCCGACACAGGTGGAGCTGGCATCGATCCTCAGATTCGTGCTGGACAACGAGGAAAGCCTGAATGAGAATCTGGAGATGTTTCTGCAGAGGAAAGGTGAGCACCAGGCCCTGGCTGCCTCCCTTACACCAGCCAAGCCCTGTGCAGGCAGAGTGGGCACTGGGCATGGTTTTATTTTCCCAGCTGGCACCAGTGTGGCACCCTGGTGAGATGGACAGTTCCTGTGTTTGCTGCAGGGATGTCCAGCTTGAACTGGGACAGAAACACCTTGTAACCTTTGCAGAGAGCAGCAGTGTGGGACACTGAGTGCTGCTGGCATCTTCCCTCCCAGCTCCCATGCTGGAAGCACCTCACCAGCACGATGACCCTTTTCTAGAGCATAAATAAAAACATTGGGGGTTTTTTCCCCCATTGGTGCTGCTGTAGGTGCCTTAAAAGCAGCAACTGCATCCAGATCCCTCAGTCACCCCAGGACTGAGCACTAGGAAATGGTTCCCCATGAGCTCTTCTTTGAGCCCATTTCCTCTTGTCCTGTCCCTTGGGCCTTGGTTGAACAGACCCACCCCCACCTCTCTCCACCCTCCTCCAAGGGACTTGCACAGAGCCACAAGGTCTCCCCTCAGCCTCCTTTTCTCCAGGCTCAACACCTCCAGTTCCCTCAGCCACAAGGGAACTCAGCACACTTGTGCTCCAGACCCTTCCCCAGCTCCGTTCCCTTCTCTGGACGTGCAGTACCCTGGTGTACCTGCCAGGCTCTCCTGCTTTTTCAGGACACACCACTGAAATGCCCTTTCCCCGGAGGAGTGAGGTGGGTGGGATGCCCACAGCTTCGTGGTGGGAGCACAGGGATGTCAGGCAGGTTTACAGCTTTCTCAGCTGGGCTGATCCATCCCCGCTGGAATTTGTGGTTCAGGCACATCAGGGATTTCAGGTGATAAATTCTCCCTTTTGCCATTAACCTGAAGATCACAACTTCCTGCTCCCTTCTGCTTTCCAGCGCCGCTGTCCTCATCCAGCACATCCAGCAGCAGCTCCGAGGAGCACTCCCCGCTGCTCTCCCTCCCACACAAGCGAGAGGTGCGTTTCCTGGAGCTGCAGAGGATTGCCTCCTCCTCCTCATCTTCCTCCAGCACCAACAAGTACGTCCCCAGCCTCTTGGCTACTGGGGGGGGAGTGAGGGGATGTGGGGGGAACAGACAGGGGGGCTTGTGGGACCTGGAGATGCAGTTGGACCACACACTGACTGGGCTGAGACCCCTTTTCTGCCCTGGTGCTGTCCTGTTGTGAACTCCTCAGGTTTAACAGAGGGATGAGCAGTGGGGGGGGTGAGATCAGGCTGTAATTAACTCCTTGTAGCCCAGCTCATTTCAGCCTAACGAACACAAACACTTCCCAGAGCAGCCTGTGGTCCTCTCCTGCCCTGGGTGGGCTCTGGAGGACCAGGCTTGTGTTGCTGCTGAATGTGCTAACGGGGTTTTTAGGGAGCTGAGTGGTGGGGCTGTGGTGTGAAGAGAGGTGGGGGCTTTGTCCTTGTGGTGGCACCTTCCTGCTCGGGTGACGAGGATCAACGTTGCTGCTCTGAGATGGGGGAGCCCGAGCGGGTCTGGCTGTGTGGGGAGGGTCTGTGCCGCCCCCTCAGCTCCAGATAACCCAGTTAGGTGATGTGCCTCTTCACAGCCTGCTCCCCGGCCCGCCCTCCTCACCCATGGGGGACGTCATGCAGACCCCCCAGTTCCAGCTGCGACGGCTGAAGAAGCAGCTGGCTCTGGAGAGAGAGAACCGGGATGAGCTGGAGGTGGAGCTGGCAGAGAACCGCAAACTCATCACGGAGAAGGGTGAGTCTCCAGCGGGGTGTCCTGGGGCACAGGGGGGGCTCCGGGGCTGAGACCTCCTCTGATCTCTGTGAATTTGTTACCATTTTAACCTCACCAGGACTGTGCTCACACACAGTCCATCCTGACAGACCCCAACGAGCTCATTGGGAGCTCTTCAGCTTTCCAAAGCAGACAGGGGGTTTGCTGTGCCTCACTCTGGGCTGGGCCAAGGGGGCCCTTGTCCCTTAATCTGGACCAAAGCCTGGCTGGTGGGAGCCAAGACAGCTCCAACGCTGTTGTAACAACCCTGAGCATCTCTTGGAGGTGCCTGTTGCTCCCTCTGCCAAATGATTTGGAGCAGGCTGGCAGGCGTAGGAG